AAAAAAAAAAAAAAAAAAAAAAGAGAGGGATTTTGGAGAAGATTAGGAGGGAAAATGAGGTATAAATAGAGGCGGAGCGGTGAGGGAAAGAGCAATGAAGGGGTCCACGTCAGACATTTTACACAACACCACGTGGTTGTCTTGTCCTAAAGGCACTTGGTTTTTTGCTATTCAAACCCCTCCCCATATATACGCTAACTAATTCTTTCTTTATTTTTTCCCATTCCCATTTTTTAATTTTATTCTCCGATCAATATTATCAATTAATTTAAATATAATTACTTATATGGGTTTCGTATGAATTAATTTCGAATAATGTGAATAATCGCTATTTAAATAAAGTATCACTAAAAGAGTATGGAGATATTTTTTCTCATAAGCTAAACATGGTCAAAGCGAGATATTGAATTCTCCGTCCTTCCCTACTCACTTTATATTTATATACTTATTTATTGGTAGAATATTAGGTTGTAATGTTGAAGGTTGAACTTTATATTATATTTTTAATTAACATATATTATTAAAGTTAGGAGATTTGAATTTAATATTTATAACGAGGTCGTTTTTGATAGAGAGAAAATCCCGCGTTCGGTCCGGAAAGGCGTCAGGCCGAACCCACGTGGCCGTTTTGTGCGTGGCTTTGAACCACGAAATCTTGGTCACATCAGTTCCGGCTCGTGGGACCCACTTTCTTCTTAAGGTTTAAGACCACCAAATTCCCAACTTTAATTTTATTTTTTAATAATTGATTTGGGCTTTTTATTCGTATAAAATAAGTGAGTTTAATCCAAAAATATATATTAATTTAAGTAATCCCCACGACCGTCGTCTATCTTGTTGATTTAATTTCATATTGAGTGACTAATCTATGGGACACGTAGTCAGAGAGTTGGATAAAATAAAGCTGCCTTCCCCACTTTACCTCTCCGATTAATCAAGTTATTATATTTTGTCACAACCTGTATTTTACATTTACCCACAAGTGGTAAATTCCATCCGGGTCATAATAGTATATAATTTGAATTTTGTTTTTATTTAATTCATATTTTTAGCTATTAAAATTTAAATTTAGGAAATAATTTTATGCAATGTATTTATATATTCAAATTTAAAAAACTAATTTTGTATTTTATTATTTTATATGTTCTTTTCATGCATTACTAATTTTAAGCAAATGTCAATGAAGAATAAAGTAGCTCATAAAAGCTTAGAATTAACATAAATAAAAAAAATAAAAAAATAAAAAACTACCCTTTTTTTTCTATTAAAAAAAGAGAAAATAACTACTTTTGTTTTATTTTTCTTATACAAAATAATTCTTTCTGTGTATACGCAACAATAACCTTAATATTATATTTGGTATAAAAAATATCTAAAAAATTTCAATAATACTCTTAAAATATTACACAAAAACTATAAAAAAAAAAAAAAAAAAAAAAAAATCTTATAGTTAGTTTTGAATGAAAAACTATTACCATCTTGATTCAAAAATATCTTTCAGCATTTAAATATTTTAATTTATTTTTAAAAATTAGGTATTTTTAGATGTGGTACTAATAATTGCGTTCAAATATTAATATTAAGGGTATTTTATTTTTATTTTTTAAAGAAGTTTAAAAGTTTTTATTTTTATTTTTATGTTTTAACATGTTTTAAGAATAATAAAATAAACCTTTGTCGTGTTGAAGGTATTTTTGAATAAAGTATTAAGAGTTTGGGTTCAAAATTAATAGTAAAAATATTTTTAAAATTGAAAGTTTAAAAATATTTAAAATATAGATTAAAACTTTTGAGATGTAGGCAAATGAGATATTTTTATTAATTTAATTATTTTTTTCCTAAATTTTAAAACATTTTTATGAACAAGAATTTTCACAAACAATAATTATAATTCCGACAATAATGTTGGAGTTAATCTATCTTGGGGTCCCCTAATACCTATTGTCTAGAATTGTGGGGGAAAGAAAAGGAAATAGGTTTTAGCGGTTGGCCAACGTTCCACCGTGGTCCACCACAACCGGCACCGCCGCTGCCTACGGCGGCGGAACCGAAAGAATGAAAGTGATTGATTTTGGCTTGGCTCTAGTACATCAGCCTTTCTAATTTTCCTTCACCCTTATATTGTATTGCAAGTCGGGGATATTTTATTGGGGCAAACTAATAAATATATTATATGGTTCTAAATATTTTATATATATTATTATATTATTTTAATTATTACATTATGGGGGTAAAATTATATTTTATGGGTAAACCACTACCTTGGATAAGAATTAAATTGAGTTATAATATAATATAATTGGATAAACAACATAACATAATTGTATATTATATTTTTATAATAAATCCTGATGACCTATAGAGCAAAGGCCGTACATGATTTGCACCCAAAATCTTATTTAAACCAAAACTTTTTTTTTTTTTTTTTACAAATTAAATATTAACAGCACCTTAATGCACGATTACGCACGATTATGCGTTTAATTAAATATATTAAAATAATGGTTAGAAATATTTTTTTAATTCTTCGAAGTTCTAATAGAATAACATAAGGTTAGACCGAGTGTTGGTATAGTTTAGGTTGAGGAATAATTTGCATATCTCAATAAACAATTTATTAATTTTAAATCATAGTTAGGTAAATTGATTATAAAATTAAATTATTATTTTTAATCTTAATGAGAATCAAATGGAATTGAAGATGGTGTATGGGTATTGGGATGCAAATCATGTGTTCCGAAAATTATATATTTAATTAAAATTTGTGGATAAATAAGGACTAATAATGGAGGAGGGGGTTGTCTAACAAGAAATCAACTACCAACTGCCACACCCCATTAATTAAGCCACTAATTAACTAGCTTTATGCTAATTAGCTTGTTAAATTAAACCTAGATTAATGGGAATGAAAGAGTTGGGTATAAAAAAAAAGGAGTATGGAAACCCGGCTAATTTCTGACTATTTATTTATTTAAACGGAACCCATCTCAAATCAGTTCATAATACAACTTAAACGGTACGAGTTGGGTTGGCTGATCGATTTTTTTTAGATATCCCTACTTTTCTTGGCTCGATAACTAGAACGATACCATATATGTGATCATTAGCGATAGAAAAGGCAAAAGATTTAGGGATTAAAAAGGGATAAGATTTAGGGATAAAAGAAGCAAGCAAAATGGACATCAATCAACTTGGGAAATAGAAGTAAAAGAAGAAAGAGAAGATGAGAAATAAGAATCCATTTGAGTGCCAAGGTCTAAGGGACAAGCAAATTGATACAATATCATATAATATTTGAGCTTCCAAAACAGTCAAAACCCACTCCCAAGTGCTTATTTTATGGTATTAAAAGTGTTTGAAATGTTTGGTGGTAGTGACCACCTCACCGTCCTGACTTGTCCACTTGAATTTGGTGAAATGACTCACAAATTCATATAAACACACAAACTTGCGTTTATATATGATTTGTTTTCAAACCCATTTGTTGTAAAAGTTCATGTCATTTTTCCACTTTAAATTCTTTTTGAATTTGTTTGTGTTCTAACCCTAACTGCTCATGGAATTCCACAACCCATTTTTCGGTTTTACCTAAATCGGTTTCCTACCACGACTCGTGCTAATAAGTTGTGCATGAAGGGATCTTCACTCTATCGTGCTTCATTTATATTTGATAGGCCTTAGACGAAGTTCTTCTTTACGGATTGAACACAGCTCAAGTAGAAACTAAGTTCGTTTGGTCATACAAGTTGTCCATGCGTACATGTTTGCTTATTGTGACTCTAACTGGCATAAATTAAAATTGAGAAGATTACCATCATAGGCTTGTAATGATGATTCAAGAAAAAACAACGTTAGGGCTGCTGAAGTTTGTTCGGTTTTAAACGGACTAGAACAACATTCTTTACACGTGAAAGAACATGGAGTCGTGATTCATGAACATGGAGTTGTACTAATCAAAGTGTTCCATGTTTTTGGTCATATGTCCATTATTTCGGCCTTTTCACTTGTGAAATTCTTTTGTAATTTGCTTCACGAAAATGGGGGAAATTGGAAGTTTGGTTCTCACAAAGAAAATTTTTTGTTCACCCTTATTTAGGCTAATATAATTTAAGTTGTTACTACACGTCACTTTTAACTAAAAAAATTAGGGTATACCGTCTAAGTGAATAATAGATATTTGAATGAATTTAGATAGATTAGATTCTAATTAAACTGATACATTTAACATTATGATAAATTTTACTTAAATGGTATACCTAACATTTTACTTTATTTATATGAACTAATATTTTCTTAATTAATAAAAATTATACCTAAACCCCTGAATTTCTAAATATATATTTCACAAAAAATATCCAGTAATATAAAGAATATTTGTTTTTTAATATTAAATAGTGCATTTCCCTCGCGGATTGAGCTTACCAATTAAAGATATTGCTGATACAGTCGTTATAGCTAACTTGGGAAAGCCGTCGATGAATTTGAACGGGCTTTTACCACAGGGGCTGCGAAGAAAAGGCATGAATTTAAACGGGCCTTTACCCCACTTGGGCCGACGAGAAAGAGGCCTAATCGGCCAACCGTCGAAAAAAATTAAACGGGCCTTAACAATAGTTGGGCCGAGAAAAGGCCTAACCGGGCGGCCCATCAATGAATTTAAACGGGCTTTTACAACAATTGAGCCGCTGAGAAGAGGGCCTAATTGGGCAGGCCATTAGTGAAA